TAGTCTGCTTTAGAAGACAGTAAGAACTAGAAACAAACCTTTTATTTCCTTCTTTTATATTGTAGGCTGTCAAACATGTGGAGTCATGTACGATCCATGTTGATGTAATCTGCCCTTATGTACAATTCTCTCCTCAAAAACTGCAGAGAAGAGAATTTTTAAACAATGCTTTAAACATTCCCTTAACAAAAAATGGAAATACAATTGAATAGACTTTTATCAGAATGCCGAATAAATAGCAATAGCACTTAGACTTATATACCGCTTAATAGTGCTTTTACAACCCTCTCTAAGCGGTTTAAAGAGTCAGCCTCTTGCCCCAACAATTTGGGTCCTCATTTTACCCACCTTGGAAGGATGGAAGGCTGAGTCAACCTTGGGCCTGGTGGGATTCGATCTGCCAAATAGCCACAAAACTGAATTAAACACAGAAGTATTTAAACATATTCAGTAGGAAACTAATATAACCCCTATTTTACATTTATAAAAATTATCAGTTAATCTGTTCAAAACAAGACATTCCACTGGTGTTGGTGACCTATAATAGCACCATAGGAAAAGGGATCTTTCTGAAAGAGAAAGATATAGCAGGAGAAAACATTAGAAAAACTAATCAACTGTTGTTACAAATCAAGTTAGACCAAATACAAATTTGTTTCAGGTCAGCTTCTTTGATTTATGTAATAAAGATGTGAACCAGCAACTAAACATTAAGGTTGAAAAACAATAAACAATATACCCGGAACATCAATTTTCATTTAAAACACAGAAAAAAATTGACAAAGAAAATCAGTGCCCAGAATGCCATTACCTAAAAGCTACAAATTCCTATTGATAGGATTTAACAACATTTACTAATTCTACCTTAGTTCTGTTATTCCACATCTGAGCACATATATTTGATATGGGGGAAAATAGAAAAAAATCCTTTTCTGAATGATAGGTACCTTTTAAAACAAGTAGATTTTAGGGAACCCTTCTCTATAAAGCTAGAGAGCTATAGTTCATCAAAGTGAGAGAAAATAATTGATGTTTGTTTCTTTTAGGAACATAACATAGAATATAAGATCTGCTAGGAAAAATGTATGGTAGGCACAAATAAGGACCTCTGGAGACAGTGATAGAGGAATTGTTGGGGCAAGAGCAAAGGAAGAAAGGGTAATTTATAAGGTTCTAAATCAGGGGTGTCAAACTCAAGGATGTGGTCAGATCCGGTCCACAGGGCCATCCTGGAAAATGTAATGGGCCAACCCACATCGCTTTGGCCCAGTCTATCTGTGTCACTTCAGCTCAGTCTACTCAATGTGAAGAGGAAACATTGGGCCAGTGTGGCTTCAGTCCGGTCTACCCAATGCAAAGAGAAAACATGTCAGCAGTTTGGGGAGTGACATCAAGATGGCCATGCCTACCCCACCCATCTGACTATGCCCACCCAGTCAGCCATGGCCACCTCCCTCCCCCCCCCAAGGTCAACCACAGCCCTGATGCGGCCCTCAATGCAATTGAGTTTGACACCCCTGTTCTAAATCATATTTGTACTAACACAGTTAAATGAGAACAATATCCTTGGCCAGAAGGATATAAGTAATTATAAGCTTTCCCTTTTTATAGGCAGATTGTTATATTCCCTCACTGTACAACCTCATTATGGCCAACTCATGAGCACTGCAGTGTGCACTATGGCAGAAAGAAATGCATGGTGAATAGATAAGCAATAAGTACTTAGACTTATATACCACTTCACAGTGCTTTACAGCCCTCTCTAAGAGGTGTACAGAGTCAGCATATTGCCCCGAACAATCTGGGTCCTCATTTTACTGACCTCAGAAGGATGGAAGGCTGACTCAACCTTGAGCTGGTGAGACTCAAACTGCTGGCAGTGGGGAGAATTAGCCTGCAATATTGCGTTCTAACCACTGCGCCACCATAACTCACTAAGAAGAAGAAAATGATTTTACTGTGGAGTTCTTGGTGCTCTATGACTTTGTTTGTTAGTTTGTTTGTAGACATTTCATTCTCCAACTATATAACATCATCAAGTCTATTAGATGTACACTAAATGATGTTGACTAGTTGGTTAAATGAAATGACTACAAGTTAACAACCAAGCTCAAGGAGCACCTAGGACTCCACAATTCAAACAATTCTATTCTATTGGAGATGATATCTCAACATAAGGGTGTTTTGCTTGCTTGAATTGGCGCCTGCATCCACCTTTAACTAACTGAACCTCCTCTTCAGGGCCAGCAATACCAGGCAGCTGCAAGCTGCACTTCATTGCCAACCACAATATGTCCTCCTGAGACTGAGAGAAACAAGTAGTAGCAGGTATACTGTTTTCAGTGTGAAATTTCAAACTTTTTCCTTCCACTTAACTTTTTTGACACATATTTTTAACTTCATTTGCCCTTTATGAATCTGTCTTTGCTCACTGTTCGGTGTTTCTCTAATTTTATTTTAACTGCAATTGTCTTTCAGCCTTGCCATTTTGGGAACACTTTTGATGAGAACTTACAATAGCAGTAAAGTTTTTCATATATATTGAAAACATAGGGCAGCATATAATTCATAAATCCATTTGATAGTCTTTTTAAGAATACATGTTTGTCATTTCATTGTGCCTTTTAGAATAAATAGTTATTAAAATGCTAAATAGGATGGAAAATATAGTTATCTTATGATATAATAGATCCACTTATTTGTAAAATCTGCAATGTAATAACAAATTCAATGGGTGTAAATTCTGTAATTAATGAGCTGCAGAGAAATGAACTGATTGTGTACATGACATTTGTCCTTTTGTTTAAAATAATCCCAAAGTTTCTTCTTCGTGTCATCCACAAGGAAATTGATTTCAATAATTTTTCCCCTGGAGTTCTAATGCAAAAGTAGTATAATATCAGGCTCTAGCTGATTCCCAGACAGGAGACAAGAATCAATATGCTTAGTGAAAATGAGAGAAGAGAATTGAATCCCTATGCCTTCACACATAATTAATGCTAGCATTTCACTGAGCGTCTGTTGATAGCCATGAGATGAACACATGGCATAACAATTATTAACAGGGTTCCACTACAATTGCTTCTTGTGAAAAAGTTTGCTTTGGTAACTAAATCTTTTATCTGTAACAAGGAGACGAGATCAATAAGCTGAGGAAAGAGAACTGGAAAGCAACTAAGAAATGGCAATTTTTTTTTTAATCAGACATTTATAAATCCTGTTTTGAAATGTGGAAGTCAAGGGCTACACATTGCAGATATTCATTACTGTCCTTGGGTTTTTTGGTGTTCTCACAAATAATCTTTCAACCATATTTGGAAGCTATGTAATTTGCTCATTTTCATGTGATTCAGGCAAGCGAAAACTACAAGTCTAGCAAAAATAATGAGATATTCTAATCACTTGTTGCCAGTTCTCTTATTTTGCTTAATGTCCATTCATTCAATGATTGTTCAAAGTTAAGGCAGCAGTGAATGAAAGGGTTTCGGATTGTTCCCCAAGTTATGGCTATTGCAGCTGTACAGACAGGCTGCCAAGCACCTGGATTTTGATCATGCCCCATGATCACATGATCAAAATCCAGGTGCTTGGCAGCCTGCCCATAAATACAACATTGGGGCACTTCATCTGCCCCCACTCACCAATCTGCTTCCCATTTTTGGCCCCCTGCATTCCATGGCCCCTGCCATCCTACATGGCTTTTGCTGCCTCCTTGCTGCTGATCAAGTATGCCCAGCCTGGCCCCATGGCACAGCTGATGGCTACATGGACCCCTCTTCCCCGGATCAAAAATAGTAATTTTCTCACGAGACCTGGAGAAGATGCCTTTATGTGGCCAGAAGCTGTCTTGTGAATGGCCAGGTTGGGCATGCTTTACCAGCAACAGAAGCAAGACAGCAGTTAACTGAGGTGGTAGACGCCTTGGAGTGTAAGCTGACGAGGGTATTTAGGACTGAGCTTGAGTAACTGTGGTTTCCTAGTTCCTTCCTAGTGTGGCTTTGTGTCATACATTGCTGGGTCAGGCTGGAGCGTCCCAGGGTTGCTACAGCTTCATACCACACCATACTGCTGGGTTGGGTTGCAGCTTCACAGAACAGCTGTGGCTTCACACCATACTGGTGAATCTGGCTGTGGTTTCCCAAGGTAGCTGTAACTGGTGGGCTGCTGGGCTAGGCTGCAACAGCTGGAGAGATGTATGTGACTTCATGCTGAGCTGTGGCTCAGGGCCTTCTTGCAACCTTTATATTCCATGAGTGAATGGAGGAAGAAGAGGTTTAAAATCTAAACTAAAATCTTATTCAAGTTCAACCATAGATTCATGACAGTTTGCTTGATGTAAGTGACTGTTCAGTTTTTTTAAAACTACTGAGGGTTAACTTGATTAAAAAATCACTGCAAGACACAAGTTTTTAATTTCATTTGATGGGATATGTTTTCATGAACGTTTTTGAGGTTTGCCATTAATTACAAAGATATTTTAATCAGATAATCTCCAAAAGTAAGAATAGAAACTGGACCCTTACTGACTCTTACCCATTACCTCACCAGTGCTTTTGTCTTCTCTGAGATCTCATTACATGCTGTATCAGGTGTGATTTTCATTGTGTTTCATAAAAATGTTTGAATCTGAATAATATGGGCACAGTTTGTTTCAGACCAAGATGAATTCATAACAACCTTGTGCAATGAAAGTTCTTTTCTTGTTCTTTCTTTCTTTTACAAGCAGCTTTACTTAGTATTCATTTTATAGTAAAGTAAAAACACCATTTACTTTTCCCTCAAGTTTCCTACTTGACTTCTCTGAAAAATTTAACCCATAATATTATCCCAATAGCTAACATAGCCTTGTTTTTACAATAAAACAGAATAGCTGTGATGATTACCATATAGGGCTAAAAGAAAAGAGATAAAAAATAAAGGAAAAGGTGAAACAGTGTTTGAAACACCATTTTAGAAACAATAATTGGAATAATTAATCACTTTTTAATTTTTTGCTGAAGGTCACAGAAAACAGACCAGATCATGAAGATTTAGAGCTTTATGCAACTTCCCGAGAGCGGCGGTTTCTAACATTTGCCAGTTTAAAATTTGAAGGGCAGCTATTTATGACGCCATATGATTTCATCCAGTCTGTTTCAAGTGATGAACCAAGACGTAAGTAGGAAATTTTTTAAAACTACATTCTTGCTGTAGTGAACGTAAAAAAAATAAACTCAAGAATAAATAGGTTTTAAACCTAGTGTATCTTGGTCTGGGAACCAAAATATCTGAAAAATGGCCTTTTGTTCATATTTTCTTATATTCCTGTTGAACTTAGGGAAACAAGAATAGCAGCAAAATGAACAGGAAGTGAATAGCAGCAGTCTAAATCCAAGGCTGCAATGATTATTTGAAATTACAGGTAGCCCTGTTTCCGGTTTGTCGGCTTCGCGAGCGGCAGGGATTTGCGAAGCTGCGCGATCCCTGCCGCGCTAGCCGTTTTTGGGGCTCCGACCCAGACGGGTACGGAGCTAGGCTGCCCTGCAGGGGCAGCTGAAGGTAGGGGGGATCCGGAGAAGGGTTTGGGGGTGTTGCAGACCCCCTCCCCAGCCGGTAGAACCCCCTTTTCCCAGGACGGTGCAGCGGCGGTCCGTAATGGCCGCCACAAAGAAGCTGGCAGCCGGGTAAGAATGCGCAGGAGGAAGTGGAGAAAGTGCTTGAGAGGAGAAAGTCTTTCTTGGTTCCTAGGACTCTAAGACATATTTAACAAAATTCCTGAAAAGTATGACTTTCTGAATGATACCTTCGAGAAGAGGAAAAAAGCGGCAGTTTAATGGTGCTGAAAGGATAGCTTACCCTCTTTTTTTACGGAATAAAAAGTGAACATTAAGAAACCTATTTTTTTTAGGTGAAAACTGGCTCTAAGCGGTGAGTGGGAAAAGAGAGGACTAAAAAAAAAATATTTGTATGCTAAGACTTTGTTGGAGGAGATGCCTTAAGGATTGAAAGACTAAAATATATTGCAATAAGATTTTAAGAAACAGATTTGGACTTTCTTTTTTTTTAATTGATACCACCCCAGGAGGAGAGAGTGGGAACTCTGTCTTGGTTTGGACTGACTGAGAACTTTGGGATTGTCTTGTTTTTCCTTTGGAATATTCTGGCTGTTGTAAGAGAAAAGAAAAGAAAAGATTTATAATGGCTTCTTCTATCGAGGAACTGAGAAAAGATTATGAGCAAGCAAAACAAAATGGTAAAGATGGTTTGAAAGAAGCCTTTCTTTTTTTAGAAATGGCGCTTATTAATTATCAACAAACATTGCAACAGATGAAGACAGCAGAAGAAGAACAAAGAGAGGAAGCCATCTTTAATAAATCTCAGAACTCGACCAAGAGGGAAGGAAGAGGAAAAAGAAGAGAAATAAAGGACTTAAGATTTAAAAAAACATTTAAGAAAGGGAAAAACAAGGTGCAAAATCAATATAAGGATGGTAAACAAAAGGGAAGAGGAATACGACAGAGAAGAGAAGCCAGTAAGGCAGAGGCTAGAAGAAGGGGGGCTAGAAAGGTTTGTTGGGGGAAGAAAGAAAGGGAAAAGGTGGAGAAAAGCTACAAAGTTTTGAAATTAAATGAGAAAAAAGAAAATTTTTTTAGGGATAAAGGATAAGTACAATTTCTTCAAAGAGATTTTGCAAGGTACATAAGATGATATTGTATTGTATCAGAAATAGAAAATTTAAATGGCTTGAGAGTTGATAAGAGATTAAAATGTTGGAATGTTAATAATGATTGGTTTGAAAATATAATATGAGGGGAGATTTAGAATATTAAACTTTAATCAAAGAGTTTATTAAGATTATGGTATTGATGTTATTATAAAACTTTCATTATAGTATTTTGTTTTTAATATTTAAATCTATTGCTTAACTATGTATTTAATTGTTTTAGATGTATTATTCAGTTAGAATGTACCAAGCAAAATCGGATTGGGTAGTTTAAAGATTAATTTGATTAATTTAGTGGGGAGATAGAAAGGCATCATACTCTGATTAGTGATTTCAGGAGAAATTTCTTTCTTTTTAAAAGGAATGAGACAAAGGTATAATAGAGAATGGACAAAAGATATAAATATAATGACTCAAATTAAGATGATTAATTAAGATAGAATCAAGAAGAGTGAAATATGTGGAGAAGTTAATATAGAAGACTTAGAATGGTAAATAAAATAAGTAATGATATGTAAGATGAGCCTGAATATTATTGAAGTCCATGAAAAGAGAGATACCTGGGTCCAAGTTACTTTCCAAAAAGATCTTTTTTATGTTTTGTGTGTTGTGTGATTATGTTGTTTTTTTGGGGGGGAAATTAATAAAACCTTGTAGAAATATAGAATGAGAATAATGGTAACTAAGTCAGAAAGAAGGAGATGAAATAATAATAATAAAATTGAATAAGAGTGAAGAGAAATAAAGGGAAACTGGATAAGAGGTTTTTGTATGTTTATATGGAAATGGTTGGTTTAAAACAGAATTATAGTTTATCTGACTTGTTAAATTTATAATGGAAAAAGGTTTAAACATGTAATGGATAATGATGACTTGTGTGTTTTGAAAATCAATAAAACTTGTTTTTTTTAAAAAAAAAAGAAATTACAGGTAGCCCTTATTTAGCAACTACTTTTTAGTAACCATTTACAGTCACAGTGGTAATGAAAAAGTAACTTTGTGACCAATCCTCACATTTAGGACCTTCATAGAACTGTAAAGCAAAGAAAAACTGAAGTAAGGTCATGTAGAGTCATGGTTTCATTTAGTGACTGCTTCTCCTCATATTGACCAAATCAGTTCCAATTGTGGTTGCTGAATGAAGGTTACTTTCCAAGCTTTAGAACTTATGCTTGAGCCCATTCTCAGGAACTTCTCTTTACTGATCCAGATTGAATCCTGCAGCATTATCATGAGATATGTATGCCTTCATTCAGAAGGCTACCTATATGAAGTTTAAAGTCCCAATTACCTTAGGGGCCCAAATGTAAGATTTAATTACCTCTAATCAATGTAGCTTTGACTAAAGGGTATATTCTTATTTTTAAGGCTAATCATATTAACATCTATGAAAATATATTTACGAATGAAGGTGAATATATGTGTCCCAGGATAATATTGTAGGATCCAATCTGGATCGGTCCAATCTGATTTACTACCAGTTTATCAAGTACTTAGGAGTCATGGGTTTGGCAGCATAAACAAACATCCAACAACTTAATAGCCAGCCATCAACACTCCAATCAACATGTAAAAACCCACATATAACAGGTACCATATAAATACCACACACAGACACATCAAGCACACACTCTGCTAGAGAGAAGTTCCCTAATAATGGGCTCCAGCATGAGTTCAAAAGCTTGGAAGACAAAATTTCCCTTTTATATAATCTTATATAGTTTAATCTACTAGTTACCAGCCCAGACGTATCTTTAGGTTATTAAAGTCAGGTTGTTAATCAATCATTAAATTCATTTGGACTCAACATTATGATCTATAGAAATAAATTCTATAAATATTTATTTGTAAAATTTATTGGCCATACCTCTTACTCAGGTTAACTCTGAAATATCAATTTTGCTCTAAGGTGCAATGAAAGCTAAAATCTTTTAGTTCTAGATTAAATAGCTGTCATTTTTTATTCTAAATATTTAATTCTAAATACAACTTTAAGAAAATGTAAACTACCTCACATTATAATAGCAATTTTCTATAAGTCTTATGTATGTGTTACACCTTGGATTTAATATTAATTTACCATACATGATGTTCCCATATCAGTAAGATCATAATAATGAACAGTGCATTTTCAGATTTAAAAGATGTTTTTAAAAACATTGAGACTAGAAAGATTATTTCCTGACATGACAAGAGATAAGATGAATATTGATCATGCCAGCCATATGTAGTAGCATGTCATTAAATACTTGTTTAAGTCATTGGTTTTGTATTTGTTTTAGAGACAAAACAGTGGAAGACACCATCAAAACAGGTACGTTACAATTCTGTTCCAAGTTAGGTTTTATACATTGACGCAAGCAATAGTAGCATTAGGCAAACTGCTCATTCTCAATTTCATGTATAGAAATAATAATAGTGGTCTACGGTTGCTGAGCATATGTAGTCTTACTTACTTACTTACTTACTTACTTACTTACTTACTTACTTATTTATTTATTTATTTATTTATTTATTTATTTAATTTTTATGCTGCCCATCTCCTCTGTAAAGTACCATATTTTTCAGACTATAAGATGCTCCAAACTGTAAGATGCACCTAGCTTTGGGGGAGAAAAACAAGGGGTAAAAAAACTGCCTCTTCCTCCCAGCAGCAAACGACAACCAGCCTGGTCAGCTTCAGCACAGCCTGATTTAGCACGAGCAGCTGATTGGTAGTTGGATCGGCCTCCCGGAATACCGACCATCAGCCCTGCCACCGCCCATCAGCACTTCCACCTATTGCCACCTCCACGCACCCCATTTTCAGCCTCCATGCGTCCCGTTTTCAGCCCATTCCAGGCGCGCGGAGGCAGCGATAGGTTGCATTAGCGATGGGCGGCAAAGGCACCCATGGGCAGTGGCGATCCCCATAGCTGATCGTCAGTATTCCAGGAGGCCAATCAGCTACTCCTGCTAAATCAGGCTTTGCTGAAGCTGACCAGGCTGATGGCTGTTTGCTGCCAGGAGGCAAATTGCTGGGAGGCAGAGGCTGAAGGGTGGGGGCTGGTGGGTGGGCAAGGCTTCAGCAACATTCACTCTATAAGATGCACAGACATTTCCACCTACTTTTGGTGGGGAAGTGCGTCTTATAGTCCAAAAAATACGGCAACTCTTGGTATCTTACTTTGCATATTTTATAATTTATCTGCATTTTTATTAGAAATGTTTTTCAAGTGTTTTTCCAGAATGTTTTCAACCTAAACATTCAAATTCCATGAGACCTGAACTTTTCTGTGACATACAATCCTATGTTGTCTAGAAATATGTTAGTCGGTATACGTTTGCAAATGCACTATTTATTATGAAGACAATGTCATCATCTTTTTTAAAAAACTAATTTGCAGGAATTGAATCAGATACTTATTGAAACTCCACCAGTTTGGAAAGGATCATCAAAGCTCTTCAGGAATCTCCAAGAAAGGGGTACTGAAGAATATTTACTTTGTAGCATATTTGCTTTATTTTTACTATGAAATTCTTTTGATTCTCAACTAGAGATTATAGTGCATTATAATAGTATACATAGTACCAGTACTACTAGTAGTTTACTGATAATTTGAATTTAACATAAAATTCATATATCTATCTGTATCTTTTTGGAAAGAAAATGCGGTCAAAATTACCTGAGTTTGCTTTGGCATTTTTGTTTTCTCAGCATCAATATGGGCAATATTTAAAAATTGTACAATTGCTGACAACTGCAATTCAGACCAGATTTCTGGTTGTGTGTTGCTACAGTCATAAGTTGAGGCACCCACATGACTGGACTCAATTTTTTTAACCTTTTTTGTGGTGGCCATCACCCTGATCACTAAGCAAACACCACAGTTGTAAGGACAAATACAGTCTTTTAAACTGGCAAAAACCATCTCAAATCATGGTTAAGATGACCACAGGACGCTGCAACCAGTCATACAGAGGAACCAGTTGCCAAATGCCCCAAATGCACTGACATGACACGGTAGTGGTGATTCAGTTTAACAAGTTGTGAGAATAAAATTAGAGGAACCTTATTAGCCCCCATGAATTCCTTGGAGTAAAGGTGGAATGATATGCAACTAGATAAGTTTACTGTATCTTCAATCATTATTTGCTAATATTTAAGTAAAAATGATGCTAATTTGTTCATTTGCTTTTTCAGGTATAATTTCTTACACGGAATATCTCTTTTTACTATGTATATTAACAAGTAAGCATTCGAAGTAAAATGTATTTTCCACAGATGCATGTATGAATGGGTGTGATGTTAATGTTGTATGTGTTAATAAATAGCAGTTTGTTTTTGCAGTCCCCTAGGAAAAAGTTAAAATAATTGAAGATACAAGGACAATTTCTTTACATAATGTAAGATAATAGTTTAGCAGCTGTTCTGATAAAGTTATATCCTTTATTCTGCTGAAAAATACTGGCATAGCAATTACTACAGTGGAAATGTTTAAAATTCCCTATTATTGATAACAGACAGTGAAAAATAAAATTCAAATTTTACTTCTCAGTTTTAAATTGTTGGCCCCAATACTTGTGAAACAATTACCTGATCATACTTAGAAAGTATGTATGGGATTGTTTGGTTTAAAATTTTCTTTACTCAAAATTCTTTATATAGAAAATAAATTTACTCCCCAGTTCTTGGATAAAATCATCAACATCTCAGAATGGAAAGGAACTTCTCTCTAAATTCCCAGCTTCTAGTGTCTTGTGGTAAGGCAACAACCCAAAACTAGTTAAATAGCTAACTGGCTGTGCAGCACAGTTAGTACTTAGAAAAGCTGGCTTTATAATATTAGTTTTTCCTTTACTTTGACAGCAATCTCAGGGTGGATAAAATATGTAAAGTATTATCTTGAAAGGAAATCAGAAGACTGATAGAGATTGGGAACAGAAGCAACATAATATGATATTGATTGGCAATGGAGACAGCAAACGTCACACTGATACTGTACATTTTTTGCCAACTCAAGAAAGTGACCTTTTTAACTCAACAGTGGAATTTTATTAAATGTAAAGTGATTAAGCATTTTTCCATATGAGAGGCTTATGCTATATCTAAATCTTTCCTGTAACTACATAGCCTACATTTAGGATGATATTCATGGTCTGTACCTTCTGGCATTTATATCACTGTACTGTTTCATTAAAAGGCATGGAACATCAGTACATTTTGAAATATTGAACAATGAATTCGAATGGAAGTTATGTATTATATTGAATGTTATAACTTTAAGGTATATATTGAAGCTTAAGTAAGAGTTAAATGGATAAAACTAAAGGATATAAAGGTGTCATACTCCAGTTAGTAACTACAGGAGAAAATTTGTTTAATGAGAAAAGATAATATGAAATTGAAACAGGACAGACAAAAAGTATAAATATAATGATTTGAATTGAGATGAGATAATCAAAATAAAATTGAGAAAATTAAAAGAGGGGAGCTATGTAGCTATGTAGAAAATGTAAAACAGCAATAAGATATGGAACAGAACATAAAAATGAGCATGAAATTGAATTTGTGTTTGTACGAAGAAGTGTAACCCGGGAGCATGCTACTTTCAAAAAAGATGTTTTATTTATATTATGTTTTTTTTGTGTGTGAAAACTCAAATAAAATTTACAAAAAAAAAAAAAGAATAGCTGCCAGAGTAGCATACAACTTGGCCTTTAGTTTCAGTATAATTCTTAAAATATTTATTTTCTCTTAACATCTTTTTTATCATTCTTGGCAGAACCACACGCTGGTTTTAGAATAGCATTCAACATGTTTGACACAGATGGAAATGAAATGGTGGACAAAAAAGAGTTCTTAGTGGTAAGTATGCTACATGTTACTTTTTAAAATTGTTACTTTCCTTTTCAAAAATATTTTTAACATGTTTTTAATTTTTTTTAAATCTTTTCAAAGGCAAAAATATTTTTGTAAATAAATGTTACTCAAATTCAAATTCTAAAGGAAAAAATCTTTCATTTAATAATATCTATCTTAACAAATTATTCTCCCAAACCTTTATGTTATATAGGGTTTTTTATTCTTTGGTTCTTTATTTGAATCTTTTCTATTTGCCTATTGTGACTCCTTCATATTTTGATGTTGTTATGGTCAGTCGTGTCTGACCTTGGAGACTCTATGGGCCAGCTCTCTTCATATCTTTCAATCTTGCACTGCTTCATTTTCTATGCTCTGCCTGATGTCAGCTTTGATAATATCCATCCACCATGTTCTTAGGTGACCAGGTTTCCCTTTACCGCTAACTCTTCCCAACATAATTACTTTCTTCAGTGAATTTCCCCATGTGAGATGGCCAAAATAAGTGAGACACAATTTTCTGATTTTCCTTCCTGTCTGGTGTTATGCACTCTAGTACTTTTTTGTTGTCATATACCTTTGCTGCCCAAAGAATATGCAGGAGTCTTCTCCAGCACCACAGCTCAAATGAGTCGATTTTCTTCCTGTCTTGCTTATTTAAGGTCCAAGTTTCACAATCATAGGTAGATACAGGGAACACAATAATCAAACCTACTTTTGGTTGTCAAGCTGATGTCCTTGCTTTTCCATATTCGACTCATGTTCAACATTGCAATCCAATGTTTTATTTCTGTGCTGCATTCACCACTCTGAGTGATTGGCAACCCTAGGAAAGTGAATTTTTCTATGCATTCTATCTGTTCACCATCAATTTCTATTTGATGTTTTCATTCCATGCAGTAGTCATGAATTTGGTTTTTTGATGTTTAGAAGGAGACCAAAATTCTCACTTTCTTTGATTTTCTTGATCAGATGTTTCAGACTTTCTGCATCATTAGCATATAGAAGATTGTTGATGTTTCATTCTTCAATCTATACCCCAATTTTTAATTCTTCAAAATCTATCTTCCTCATGATTTCAATATTTCAGCATACAGGTTGAATAAGAAAATGGAGAGAATGCAACTGTGCCACATTCCTTTTTCTATCTTAAACAAATCGGTGTCTCCATATGGTGTTCGCACAGTGGGTTTCTGTTTTGTGCATAGTGATTTCACCAATTTGACCAGATGTTCTGGTATCCACAGGCTTGTAGTGCTCCCCGTATCTTCTCATTATCAACACAGTTGAAGGCTTTCTTGTACTTGATGAAGCACATGTAAATGATTCACAAGATTTTTCTATGGTTCAGCCAGCACAGATTTGCAATATGGTCACAAGTGCTACAACCCTTTTGAAAGCCAGCTTGAACATCTGCTAATTCCCTTTCCATGGTTGGTGCTTGACATTGTTGTATAATTTTAAGCAGAATCTGGCTGATGTGAAGTATGAAAGCAATTGTGCGATAACTGGAACAATCTTTAGAATCATTCTTTTTTGGCAACAGAGTGAACACTGAACTTTTCCAATCATGTGGCCACTTGTTCATTTCCCACATTTTCTGGCACACACCTCTCATGACTCTGGATATACAGGTCTCAGTAATTCTGCAGGGTTATTGTCAACACCTGCAGTCTTGTTGTTTGGCAGTTGGGTCATCGCCTATATGATCTCTTTCTTCAAGACTGACCAGTTCTATTTCTCCTTCTCTTTCCTGATCATCCTGAGGCTGGGCCCCATTACTACCTGTGTACAGCTCTTCTGTATATTCTCGCCATCTGTTCTGGATGCCTTGTTGGTTGGACAATTTTTTCCCTTGCTTGTTTTTAATGATGCCTTTATGAGCAATAAATGGTGCTCAGTTTTTTTTGACTTGCGTTCCTGGTGCAACCCTTCCTGTAGTTCACTTCAAATTGTTTACATTGCTTATCCCAATAAACTTCATTATCCTTCCTTGTTGCCCTCTGGTAGTCTTCTTACTTCTTCCATTCGCCTGCTGCCTTGGATGCTTTTCTTTGCTCAGGTATTTTGATGGTTTCATCTGAAGCCAGCTGCTTTTTTCCTGGCTTCTTGTGCAGTATGTGTTCTTCTGCAATTCTAATAATGGCCGAGTGAATTTCCTGCCACAGTTCATCAGGTGTCTTCTCAGTGATGCCCAGTAGTTCAACCTTTTACTCTAATTATATATGTAATAGGAATTTTAGTGACATCAAACTTCTTTGGAGGAGCTGTCTTTTTGAGGGTGCATAGTTTAATCTTTGCCACCGACAATTCATGATCTGAGCCACAATCAGCACTTGGATTTGTCTTAACAGCAAGGACTGAACTGGTCCATAGTTGACTGTCTAGGACATAATCAATCACTCCAATCAGTGAGGTTCAAGCAGTGCATGTTCTGTTTGAATTTTGTATTCCTGATTCTAAATTGGTGTTCTTGGCAAAATTGAACCAAATGATCACCTACATCGTTCCTCTCACAGTGCAAAATGACCAGTAATGCCTGTCTCCATTTGTTTGCCAACTTTTGCATTGAAGTTGCCTAAAATGTAAACAATGTCATTTTTGGGCACTTGTTTCAGAGTTCCTTGGATAATGACATAAAAGCCCTCTATTTCAAGCTCTGTTGCAGAAATCATTTGGGCATAGATTTGGACACTGTAGTACTGAGGACTTGGTATAAATTCTGATGGTCATAATTTGGTCAGTGACAGTTGAGAAGCTTTCCACTGCTCTAATAAATTTCTTGCTTATAGTAAACACCACTTAATTTGCTTTCCTGGTATCATGTCCTGAATAATAGAGAGTGAAATCCTCAAACTGGAAAAAGCCATTTTCTGTCCAGTGTAGCTCTAAGGAGATCAATTTCCAACCTGATCATCTCTTGTTTGACAATATCTAATTTACCCTCTCATTCCTCTGAGATTCCATCTGATGTATCTCTATACAGCGCAGACATTTGTTTCCACCACTGGCTGCTTCAGCAACTGGGATTTCTGTTATCCTACCATTAGGCACTCTTTCTGACATTTCTTCCATACAGTTCCTTGGTGAGTTTTTGTGGAATAGTGTTCTGACCAAGGCTTCCTGAGACAGTAACTCACACGCTGTTCCCAAAAACCATTTTTTAAAATTATTTTAACAGCTGTGAATTATATGCATTCACAGCCCGTAATGAGTCCCAAACAGTTTGTGAATAGCCCAACAGAAGTCTGCCACAGACTTTCAGGATAAGGCTAATAAGCACCCACCTTTATCTCCCTTGAAATGCTGCCAATGACTAAATTGTCAGTTAGCTATACAATGCCAAAGTCAACACAGAGCTTCAGATTTTAAACCAACCAGAACGAACAAAGTTGCTTCCTGCAAAGGCTAATGTCCCTTTGCTCCTTCTTTATGTCTTATGGAAGGAGCCAATCATCTCCAAGCCTTACTCCTGAGTCTCCCCTTTTGTCTTAACTGTTCTTGCCTTCTGGCAACTCTGGGCAAGCATGCACTGGGAACAGGCTCCTGCTTTTCCTCTGCCTCACTGATATCAGATTCTGGAGGCTCCAGAGTCAGCACATAACTCTCAGATGGCCCTGGCCCCATCTCTGTGTTGGACGGAGATCCCTCGTCTGAGTCCCCCACAAGACTCCAGAACTGGCCCATGTTCCTCCCCACTGTCCGACACTGCTGCCAGCTCCACAGGCCACCGGCAGATCACAACAAGTAGGTCACCAGATCTTTCTCCAAGCCTGTAACTCACTTTTCGACAGCTGCCCAAGGACAGCAACTGCTGCAGTCCTTGTTAACCTGGGTTACAACCAATCTGGTATGGGATTTCTTTTTTTGTTGACTCATCATAGTTAATAGGTTTGTGGATACTTTTAATCTGACTCCTTCATTGAGACCTGTCTGCCTTGGGTGACCCTTCTGGTATATTTCCTGGTGGTATACCTCCAGTGTAGTTGTCAGCATTAACAGAACACACAAGCCCCTCTCCCAAAGGAGAATTCCACATGGAGGGGCTTCATATGATAAAAAGTGATTAATTAAGAAACATAAGGGGTGGTTAACTGAAATGCCTATGTGGTTGTGAAGCCTAAATGGGAGGGAAAGGGATGGGAGAAGAGGAAGGTGAACTGAAGAAGAAAATTGAGAAAGTAAGTAAAATATGAGACATAGGAGGGGCTTCTAGAGCTTTTAATGCATATCATTCTTCTTCATGCATTTTTCAAAGATCAGTGAAATTTCATAAGTATTGATTCATACATTTCCCTATCACTTACTTCACAGGGTGTTTTTTAATGTCTTTAGAAGCCATCAGTTTGAAGGTACCCAGAATGGTATAGCAGGGGATAAAGATGAATAAAAATTTCCTCTCCAGTTAATAGACTGAGTAACTGGAATAAGTCTAATGCTGATCTGGCATTTTGAAGGTATGAAATGATAGCTATCTAATTTGCAAACACGAAACACAGGCATTTTATAGAACACTACTGTGAAATCAAAGAGGGAGGAAGATCATTATGCAGTTTCATCTAAATAAGAATGTTTGTGGTTCATATTTAAAAGAGCCTAGATGTGAAAGGAGTGTAAATTCCTTGACCAACATTATAGAACATGGGCTTTAAGAAAAACTCCCACAGAAACATTTAATGTAAACCAAAAACTTTTCCAATACTTGCTATTTTGCCTTTGACTGTAAGATGTAAAAGATCTTGAAAGGAAACTCTGAGTGAGTTTTTATGTAAAGGAAACCAATAAAACCAAGTCTACAGTATTACTCTTCATGTTGATACTTATTAAGTCTCATTGCACAAAGAATGTGAAACATGATAATGTAGAGTTTATAACACCCAGAGGGCTTTGTATACAGCAAAACATTAAAAATTATCTAAATTAAGTCATCAATGCTTAACAGATTTTTGTCTTTTTAAAAAAACTGTTTGTTTATGTCATAGGTTTGAGGTCAGAGAACAGAGGGATTTTGTTCCCTTGATACAAGAGATGTTGTTTTGTCCTTCAGCTTTCAACAGTCAATCCCATTATTTTGTTTCAGACAATGTTCCTATGAAAAGTGCTCCTAGATTAATTCATGTTCACTGCTGTATTCTTTGGTATCCTGTAGCACTTCTTCTACACAAAAGGTTCATTTCCAGAAGATCAAATGAGCTTTACTGATGAATGCAACAAGATCTTCTTCCCTGTATCTGGTGTAAGGGAAATCAAAGCATGGAAGATTTTTTTTTTAAAGGTCTTTTTGCCTTTTCAATTACCAACACTCTCTTTACCTTTTTTTAAAGCTAACCTTACAGTTTAGTCCAATGTGAGCTGTTTCAAATGTTCAAAGAACATATGGTGTAATCTCTTGGGTCAATGGTACAGAGTGCAGGTGGCAGATTACATGATGAAGGCTTCTACATTTAAGAATGTCTTTTCCTTGGAAAGCTAATATGCCAGATGAAAGAAATGATGCTAGAACCCTTGTTATTTAATAAATAAGTTTCTATATTTGGAAATTTTCATGAGAAAATAAACAGAATATGAAGTTTCACCTTCTATTCTGAAGTGGTATATTTTCAGTGGAACTGTTATGCTTTTAATGAATACCAATATTGGTACAAAGACGCCGCTGTTTCTAAAATCACAGTGTATTTGCTAGTTATCAAAGCTAGTTATCAAAGTTATCATTAAGTTGTTGGGGTATGTAGAAATATTTCAGAAGTTAATGTAGGGTGAAGTTAGGCATTAAATGTTAATAATATGATTTTATCTGTTGATCCCCATTTCCACAACTGAGTCCCTGGTTTTATATTTATTTGAAATTTAATTCCCAAGTTTAAAAACACAATTTCTTGTCTTACATTCTCCCGTACATACAAACAAAATGCAAACATTTTTTTCTCTTATGCACATGTACACATAATGATGTTGATAAGGTTGCTGTTATGGGGTTTTTATATTGCTTATGTTTTATTTTTTATTTTTATATTATTTATTGTTAAATTTGCTTGCTGTAACTCTTACAACAGTGGGAAAAAATGATAAAAAAAATCTAAACAAATACTAGCAAAGCAATGAAAACAATAAAAGTTAGCAATAAAAGTACAATAATGTGAATTAAAAGATGGGCGGAGGGGAAGCAGGAAGCACAAGGAGGAGGTTGTGTCAGGTAATTAGTCCAGTAGCCACCTCCAATGTGGTACTCCCCTATTGAGACCCCAGGCCAACCAGCAAAGCCAGGTCTTTAGGCCCTTGCAGAATGATAGAAAGGTAGAGACAAACCTTACCCCAGAGGGCAGGATGTTCCATAGCAGGGCTGTCAAACTCCCGGCCTGCGGGTCAGGTGTATCACATGCTGGCCATGCCCATGCCTGGTTTAGCAAAGGGGGGGAAAGTCCCGATATATCACATGACATCACCGTGATGACGTGAGTTTGACACCCTTGTTCCAGAGGGTTAGCGCTATAGCAGAGAAGGCTCTTTTGGGTCCTGCCTACCAAAGTTCCTTGACTGATGGGTAAGCCTCCAATTCTAGCATGGGTAGGGATCATTGTTTATTGTTGTTTATTTTGCATTTTTATTCACTATTGTGAGATGAGAGGCCTTACAATTCAGAGCAAACCAATTAATAAAAGAATTGGGCAAAGGAAGTTAAGGCCACAACATACCACCTGATAGACTTCATATAATATTTGGCCCAGGGGTTTTGTACTTATGCCATAATATTAAGTGTAGCATGTCAATCATGTATGTCTAGAACAGGGCTGTCAAACTCGCAGCCTGCGTGCTGGATGCATTACGTGCTGGCCATGCCCACGCCTGGTTTAGCGAAGGAGGGAAAAAAATCACAATACGTCACATGATGATGCCGTGACGACACGAGTTTGACACCCTGATCTAGAAGATTTTGATCAAGTTGAATCAGATGCATACCTTACAGAGTTGGTTCCTATTACTAATAAAAAAGATACAGATGACAGTTCTTGGAGGAAACTCTCAAAATCTATTTGCATGCATAATATCTAATGGGACTGTCAAACTTCATTTATTAATAAATTGAGATTTCAGTGTGCTGCTTAACATAATATTGAATTTGCTTTTATCTATGGGAGAATAGCAGTTAAAAGCTATCTAAAACTATTATATTAAAAATAAATATAAATGATATTATTTATATTATTCAGCTGAAGCTAAGGCTCTCTTTTAGTATACTGTATCCCAAAGTATTATGACAATGGTCCATAAACGTTACTAAAATAAATAACCATAGATTATAGAATTTATTTTTTTTCAGCTGCAAGACATATTTAGGAAGAAAAATGAGAAGAAAGAAAGAAAAGGAGATGAAGAAAAGCGTGCAATGCTGGTAAGGATTTTAAACAAATATTAAAGGATTTTTCATAATTCTTTGAATGTTGCTTTCAGTAGGATATAGGATAAGATTATTACATTTACAATAATAACAGCAATTGCACATTTTCTTTTTTGATGAATATGAGCCTTCATCATAGTCCAAACTTCAACTGAAACAGAAATTGTAGAAGAACAAAATCTGATTTAAAATCAAACAAATATATTTTCAGACTGATGGAAATAAATCATTGTTTTGCTATAGCACTGTAAGCTGCAAATATAACCGTACCTGATTTGGATTAGGGAAAATAGGTGCAGTAATTTTTAGTATTGCTCTTCTATCTTTTTTTAAAGGGAGTATGGTTTTGACATTGAAAATAATTTATTGGACAATTAAAACTATTAGAGCTGAACTCAAATTTACTTTATCAACTATAGACACAATGTTTCTCACATGACTACCCCACTAAGGATTTTTCTAAACTACAGGAAAATACTTCTGCAATTACTTTAATACTATTTGAAATACCATTTTAAAAAAACCTTTAAAATGTTTCCATCATCAGTAATAACCACCTTGCTTCCTTACATTTGTCTGTGTTAGGAAGTATTTCATACCTAATTTGAATGGTGCTTATAATGGATAATTATCTCAATTAAAATACTTTATATGTATTCTACAAAGTCTTTGAGTTTTACTTAAAAGTAATTAATAACTCAAAAGTAAATGAGAGCCTGTTGCAAATGTTACATGGGATATTTGCTAATTTGTAATGTGCTTATCTTTCCAAAAGGTTTTTGCTTGTTTCAGAACTCCATCTTTTAAAAATATAAATGAATACCATGAAGGGCACATAATAAGCCTCTGGAGATTTTTAGTGGTAACAGAAAAGATAGACACACAAGAAATAAGTAGCAGGCATAATTAGATGTTCAGAAATAGATCATTTGTACCAATGAAGAACACTTTAAATAAGAGTATTTCAGATGTTAGATCCAATCTTACCATTTTTCTTTCATCTCTTCCAGCAGCTTTATTTTTTTCTTTGGAAGATTCAGAACCAACCAAAAAGAAAAAGATTCTAATACTTTGTGTGAATAATTGTGACTTCCTACAAAAAAAATTGAATGTATTTTGATAGGGATGTAGCTCTGTTTCTTATTAGTCTTACATAATTGTATTTTTAAGGTCAGAATGTGATCTAAAGGTAATTAAAAATCTACATATTAAAATGTGGCTTATAACCTTAGCTATAAAGAATAGTTCATAATATTTTTTAATGTAAGTTTGTATATGTTAGCTAATTGCTGATTTCTTTCCTTTTTTTTTTCTACTGGTTTTATTCTGAAATTCAACTGTTCACTAATGCTGCTTTACATCAGCAACTCCAGCTTTATGGGTATCACCGTTCTACTAATGTATGTATTGTAAACTTGTTTACTGATCTATAAACATTATATTTATGATACAAACATTATTTACAATACAGTATATTTGGCAATGATTAGATTCACATATTCGCTAAGCCAGAATGTGTTTCATTTGATTTTGGTTTAGCATTTGTTAATTCAGCAACTGAATCATATTCAACAAACTGTGGTTATATAAATTATGACTTTGCATAATGTATAGAGCAATTCACTTTTAAAGCCCCATGCTCATTATAAATCAAGAGGAACTATATGTTGTAAGCCTAACTTGGAAATTTTTTGGTTCTATAATATTGAGAGAGGAGGACAAGATAGTCATTGTGTCTTTTTATATTTGTTTATTATTTATTTATGTAAGAAAATTTATATGGATGCCCAGCTTATTTCTCAGTGACTCTGGCAAAATTAAAACCCAGTATAAAAGCAATAAAAAACAATCACTCCCACCTCAACCTCCATTCCAATAAAAACAATCGAACAAACCATTTTTATTATGTTGTTCACCAAGACAGCTCCAGATTTACTCCATAGGTGGATGAAAGGACCAAACTGATGGGAGATGCAACAGCTGTTTGTTCTTCCATTTGCTTTTGATCTTCTATAAATATACTGGAAGTTTTTATTTGCATCCTGTTTTGCTTTATGCAGAAGTCATATTTAAACTTATAATCTGATTACTGTAGATTTGTAAATTTCAATACTACTGTATTAGGTTCAATAGTTAAGCTGTGAGCTTATTTTATTTAGAAAGAGTGAAGGAATATTCAGTATTAGTGTATATTTTAATTAACCAAATAAGATGAAAGAGGTCGATAAAATTAGAACCACCCTTAGAATGAAGACTAGCTTGTGTAGTCTAGAAGAATTAGAGCAAGAGATAGGCAGACAAGAGAAATGACCAGTTCAATTATGAGTTAATTTTAAGCCATTAACTTTCTGCTGTTAGAAACACAGTCTTTTTTAGGAGCAGTAACATTCTTAAATAATGTAATAATGAACCATTAAGAACAGAGCATAAATACAACTGAACTGAGTCAGAATAGAGAAACTTACTGTCATACCTTCATATTATGTATTACTTTCCCAGATCTTTGTCTGATGGATGCAGTAAGCATGCATTGAATGTGCCTTCTGATACGCTAACAAATGTTGGATGAAAATGAAGCATGTACAGTTGAACAAATACTAATTCTGTATTGATCATATATGTATCCTGAACAATTTGCTGGATATTGAGGCAGCAATAATAATTGGTACCCACCAACTGTCAGTCATTATCAAGGCACTGAGACATACAAAGACATACAGTTTTTCTCTATACAGTCAGTAGTTTAATAGGCTGACACAACTATTTGTTCTCTGAACCTGAATATTGCACCTCATATAAGAACAGGAGCAATCTTTTTTTTTATTAAATGCCAATCTGAAAAAAAGAATCTCAAGCCTGAAAAAATTAGGGCTGCTTTGATGAGTAGCAGAGAAGAACTATGTTTACATGAGGACCAAAGTTTTTTTTCTCCTACTCACTTAAAGATACATACAATGGAGCACCCCATTTTTTAAAATTTATAAATAATCAGTAATCATAAATCCTTTACACAGGAAGATCCACAGACTGAAGAGTGGACTTGCTAGTTTTTTAATATTCACTTTGTTGTCTCTTTTCCCTATATCACTACCAGTGGTGGGATTCAGCCAGTGCGCACCACTTTGAGAGAATCGGTTGTTAACTTTCTGAGCAGTTTGGTGAACTGGTTGTTGGAAGAAATCATTAGGGCAGAGAACCGGTTGTTAAATTATTTGAATCCCAACACTGATCATTTCTATCTTGTTCAATCTCAATGATTCTCACCAACCATTTGTTCAAAGACCAAAATAATGACAGGTTCCTGTATCCAAATGATCTCGTGATTGCAATCTGGGTGCTTGGCAGCTGGCTCACACTTATAATGTGAGCATCCTGCAGCCACATGATTGCCATTTGTGGCAATGCAAACTTAGTTTTAAATTGAAATGTACATTCTCTCTCTCCTTCTCTCTCCCTCCTTCTCTCCCTCCCTCCCTCTCTCTCTCCCTCCCTCTCTCTCTCCCTCCCTCTCTCTCTTTCTCTCTCTCTGTGTATGTGTGTATTGAGAGGCTATGCTGGCATCTGATGAATATTCTACCAGTATTTATTATTCAACCAAAGCTGTAATAAGAGATGTTACTAAATAAATAAAATTTAAAGTCCTTAATTTAATTCTACTAGATTATTTTAATAATTTTTTAATCAGATGTATTTCACATCAGGCTCCTATCAGAAAAATGCATGGAACTTGGCAGTCATAACTGGCTGAAAGATAAGCCTGTGCAAATCCTTTCTAGGCCAGGAAGAAGTTACAAAGCTTTAATAGCCTGAACGTAGTTGTTTCAGTGATTTTAAGAAACATATTTCCTAGGTGATCCCACAGATAGCGAACTGACCATTTAAAAAATTTGCACAACCTGACAAAAGGCCAGTTGATTTTAATAAACCGTAAGGGTCCCTTTCTTTGGAATTGATACACATTACTATTTTTGCCCCTTAAACATATGGGAAAATGCATAATTTGAAATTAAAAGACAAAAAGAAAATGTTCTTTCTAATTGTGTACATCTACTTAATGCATAATAATAGTCTTTCAGACTTCCTTTTCCATCTGTATGTAATTTAAAACTGAATGGTGTAGACAATTTTAAAAAGTTATTTCTTTTTAAGAAATCATATAATTGTGAAAGTATATGATAACTGAGGAAATGGTTCTCAGACTACTGCAAAGATGTTACAGTGTACAGCTGTTCTTCCTGACTGATTTTTTTTCCTCCCTCCAACATCTATGCATTTTCAAAATTCTACAGGTGCTCAAAACAGCTGGAGACGATCTTTTTCCAAGAAGCTATTGGGACACTCTGAGACGTAGCACAAGTCAGGCTCTCTTTTCAGACCTCGCAGAGGTATAATAAAACCTCTGTACAGCCCATAAATGCCTTTCATTGTTTCCCATGCAATCTTGTTTTTCCTCATTGTAAATATTCTGTCTTTAAAAATATTTTTTGTCTCCCTTTAGGCTTTTTTTTTTCATTTGTCCCTTAGCATTTCTTTGGCACCTGCATTTATTAAGGATTTATCATTGGATTCAGAGTGTTAGTCTTTTGAGCTAGGGTATTTAATCTTCACAATGACGGGATTAATATTGTGTCTTGTACACCAGAAATATTTGATGCTTATTTAACTTGTGACATAAAAATCCATAAGCATAAATATTCTTCCCACATACTTAGAATTAGACTTTACATTTGAAGGTTCAGAAGCCCCCTCCTGAGCTTTATTAGGGCTTCAGATCCTAGGATATTGGCCTAAACTGATAATCTTCTATGGAACAGCTGGTAATAAAGCTGCATCCAAGCTAAATTCAAAAATTTTGGAAACTTTTCCACATATATAAGCAGCCAGGAGCAGCTTCTGAAGAAGCAATGCAAACCTGGGTAACAATATACCGTATTTGCCGGCGTATAAGACGACTTTTTTGCCCTGAAAAAAATGCCTCCAATTGGGGGGGTCGTCTTATATGCCGGGTCGTCTTATACGCCGGCAAATAGTAATTGGGAAGCACTGCGGCTGCCCGCGGCTGAGGCACTTTTGCGCACCGTGGAAACGAATCCCGTGAAGCCGAAAGGAGCAGCCAGCCTTCTCCCAGCTCCCAAGGAAACGAGGCTCGCACCGCCCGAGCTCCGCTGAGGTATCTGGCTGGGGCTGTCAGGAGTTGTTACCGCTGGCGCGGCTCCGCGCGGCTCCAGTCCCGCGTTGCCTCGGGAAGGGAAAGGCAAAACCAGGAGCCGCTGCTGCCATTGCAAAGCGCCTCCGCGGCTCTTCCTTTTTGCCTTTCCCTTCCCGAGTGCACAAAAGTGCACACACGGTGCACAAAAGTGCCTCAAAAAAAAAAAAGTGCAAAAGTGGAAGGCGTGCGGAAGAGAGGGCGAGTATATAACAAACTATATTTTGAGTAGAAATGTTGGGGGGTCGTCTTATACGCCGGGTCGTCTTATACGCCGGCATATACGGTAGTCATTTGAAAAGAGGTTTCTCCTTCTACTGGAAACCATCTGTAGAATAGAATAGAGTAGAATAGAGTAGAATGGAATGGAATGGAATGGAATAGAATAGAATAGAATAGAATAGAATAGAATAGAATAGAATAGA